TATAGTATATTATAAATTTATTATATTAAATATACTAAATATATATATAGTATATTATAAATTTATTATATTAAATATACTAAATATATATTTAGTATATTATATTTAATATAATATAATATAGTATAATATATTTTAAATATAGTATATTTTATAATATAATATAATATAATATATTATAAATATATATTTTTATATAAAAATAAAATTAAATATACTAAATATAAATATATATTAAATATACTAAATATTTAATATAGAAAAAATATATTAAATACGTCAATTGTGTTTAAATAGATTCTGCAATTTGAAAAATTCGTAAGCTACGAAAAGATTGATCGCTCTGTCCATTGACGGATTATCGGTTATTAAGGGCAAGAGTTCACGAAGAGTAAACGCGATCGTGGAAATCTTATTAAGAAAGGCATTCATCGACTGACGGAACGTCAGCAACGTTTTATCGCGTCGAGAGCGTGAATATTAATCTGACGTTTCTCGAAACGAGTAGCGAAATGTGTGCAACGTTGATATAATCCCGTTTCAACGATATTCTTATCGCCTCGTTTTCCAATAGCAATCCATTTCCCATTAATTTATGTATCAGTCAATTCAATTTAATTAAATAATAAACAATAAGTAATAAGATTTTTATAATTGATGTTAGTAATGACAAATAATAATTATCTTGTAATTTAATCTGATAAATGTAGCATGTTTACAATATTTATTATATTATGAATATATTAGTATATTTATAATATTTAACATAGTATATTATAGTATACTATATTATAATATTATACTATAGTATTAATAATATATTTATAATAATATTTAACATAGTACATTTATTATATATTTATCATATGTTTACATATCAAATTATTAAATTAAGTAAGTATATTTTAACATATATTCATTATACATATTTAAATATTAATATGTATCATATTATATTCCCAATTTACACTTTTATTTACTACATTTATTATAATTAATATACTTCAGTCTCACAACTCTCAACAAAATAAAAACTTTGGAATTAGTGAAATCCCAAGCGGGATTTCTCTACAGGAAAACGTAGAGAAACCAAGTTGCTCATAAATTGCCAGTATATTTTTCTTTTTCTCTTTTGGCCAAACAAAAGATCTTAAGGGGGCGTGAACCGAATGTACGATGGTGATATGTAAAGTGACACAGTGTTTACAGTCACGTAGAGCGAGTACCATTTACCACCTGTCACGACTGCTAGATAGTTACGCTCACTGTCCGTTTCAACGTTATCGCGAGAACTTGCTGGCCAGTGCTTAGAATTACAAGTAAACGCCCTTTGCACTTTCATGATTTATTTCCTTACTCTTGCGAACGTGATACTAAGGATAACATAGTACACTATTTGTTTCATATTCAACAATTTCAATTGGAGCAAATTATATACACAAAAGACTGCCAACTATCAATGATTTGAAATTTAGCTAGCCCAGTTTGCAGATTTCAATTTAAGGAAGGAAAGGAGCTTTGCTTTGTATAATGAATGTAATATAACAGTTGATATGTATAAAACTTTTCATGAACAGCTATATAATTGTATAGTAACTGTAATATTGTATATAATAACTTCCATAAACAATTATGTAATTGTATAATAATTGTACGTACAATTGTATAACTGTATAATGACTGCAACGTAAAAACTTTCAAGAACAGTTGTATAATTATGTAATAACTGTAATACTATGCTGTATATAATAAACTTCCATGAGCAATTATGTAATTGTACAATAACTGTAATTTAGTACCCTATATAATAACTGTATAATCTTCAATAACAATTGTATATAATCTATACAATTATATAACAGTCTATATAACAACTGTATAATCTTTAATAACCACTCTATAATTGTATAATAACCACATTCTATAATAACTCTGATGAACAACTGTGTAATTAAATGAGTATACATAAAACTGCATAATTAAATAATAACTGTGACACTTTGTATAATAACTTCCATAAACAATTAATAATTGTACGTGTAATTGTATAGTAATTGCAACATAATACTGTATATGACAACTTTTATGAATATGTGTAGAATTGTATTACTGTGTATTGTATAACTATAACATAATACTGTTTATAAATGTAATAACTTCCGTGAAAAATTATATGATTGTGTAATAACTGTACACAACGTACAACTGTATGATAATTGCAATATAATAACTTTCAAGAATAACTGTGTAATTGCATAATTGTACAATATTATACGATATTCCATAATATTTCACTTTCTACTTTCACAAACAATTGTAGAATTATATAATAACTATACATGGAACTGTATAATCACAATATTCTATGATATTCCATAATATTCCACTTTCTACTTTCACAAAAAATTGTAGAATTATATAATAATTATACATGGAACTGTATAACTGAACAATAACTGTGACACTTTACTGTATGTAATAACTTCCATAGACAACTATATAATTATACTGTTGATTTTTCTAATAACTTTCATGAGCAACTGTACAATAATCACTGTATATAAAACCATATAATTGAATACTAATTCTAACATGATACTATTACATAATAATTTCCATCCATGTTTTATTATACAATACAATTACACAATTTAATAATTTTATTATCATACATTACACAATTGCAATATATACAACATAAAAACTTCCATAAAAATTACATAATTATATAAGCTCTAAATAAAATTGTAAAATGATTGCAGTAACATACGTACATACATGTTCAGTTCACTCGTGGATCATCCCCAAAATCTCTCAGGCTCACGTTCTTTCATTGAACAATATATAGTCAAACAATTACCGAATCCTCGAGTAGATTTATTTCACTCAACCGACAAGTAACACCAACGAAGAGATCCAAGGCCGGTTATTATCTCGCCGTGGAGAACGGAATGCAGGGGGATGGAGGAGAGGGGGGGCCAGATAAATCGTGCACCGTCCGGGCATCAACTATTCTTAAATGGTTAAACGGAATTCGTTTTATGATTCAACGGGTGCCATAAAGTCGACGAAAATTCACGGTCTGCCGAGGAATTTCGCGAGACGCGGGCCACGATCCCCCTCCTCACACTCGTCTTGGGAACCAGGGCGATTTCCTCCCGACCGTAGTTCGCTCGTAAACCGAAAAACGCCGCCAACCGTCCCCCGTGTTTTCCAATAAGTCCGACGTTTATGAGACGACGTTCACCACGATCGAATTCTCGGCCGAGGAATTGAAAACCACGACGCGGCGTGTCACGAACGAAAATAATAATTCCTCGTTGGCGAATTACGGTGAAATTACGACCGATTTTCGCACTTTGTTCGAGAGAATTGCAAGAGCGCGACGCCGTTCGGTACCGGTTACGAAGAACTGACGTCACGGTCACGTGTCTTGTCGACGCAGGGTGCGCGCAGTGTTCCGGTCAATTAGGCGGGAGATTCAACATTTGAAATTCCAGCGTCCTTTGCGCAAAGTATTTACAGAGATTGTTTTCAACGTTAATCGATTAATTTGGCTTGCGTTGATTAATTGATTAATTGATAACGATTCTTTATCTTCATATTGATTGAAGTATTAATTACAGTATTGTTATCTTTTTATTATAGGTTACGTATTGTAGCTTACGTATTATAGGTTATTTATTATTAACTGACTTTATGTGTAATATGTATAATAGTTATATACAATATATATTTATCAAAATGAACTTGATCATTATCATTATTATTATTATTATTTGATATAAATATTTGTCTCATTGATTAATTTGAGATAGTTAGTGTCTTCATATTAATTGAAATATTGTTCAAAATATAATTTAACTAATTTTACAAGTACACTTACAATGCATTTCAATTATAAAACTACCTTCTTCAGTATTGTTCAATATCTAACTTCAGTAATAGTATTATTGGATGTTCAATCACTTTAATTATTATTTCAAATACATTTAATTTGAAGCATAGGGCTGATTAGAAGATTTAACATGTCAAAATTCAATCCTTATTTCTGCACAGGATGATCAAATTTAGTATTTACTTTAACGATCACATTAATCACACATTCAATATTTAATATAAAAAAGATGAATTTTCAAATGATATTTTGCTTCAATTAATTATTTTATCTAGTATATATTTTTTATCTGAAAGGTATTCAAGACTGATGTCAAGTACAATTCTGAACTCTGTATAAAGTGATCAAAGTTGTACAACACATTACAAGCATTGTCTATTATATATTATACATTAGAATTCACTTTAATGAATATTCAATATAATATTTACAATAAAATACTAAAACGTGGATTTTCATGCATTGTATCTTACATTACATGCATTGTATATTATATATTATACATTAGACTTTACTTTAATGAATATTCAATATAATATTTACAATAAAATACTAAAAAAGTGGATTTTCAAGTAGCATCATCTCGCTTCAATAAAATTTTAATTATTGTTTCCAATTATTTTTACTTGAAATAGCAAACGTGCCCATAAATTTGGTTCTTTCTGTACGCGAACCACTTTCATCTACTTAATCTCATTAACGCCAGCAGTATAAGCTTCTCGAACACCCTATGCGATACTCGTTCGTGTATCGTTCGACGATTTATCTTTCACGGCGAAAATTTACTGGAAATCTTTTTATTACTTGGCTCTACGGAGCCCGTGATCCGGCAATTCCTCTCCTATCGACTGACGCGTGCACGCTGCACGAAATTTTTCTCCATTAATTTCTTCCCCGTTCGAGCCGACTTTTCGGAACTTGGCTTAGATGGAAAAACCACGTCCTCGCCGAGAAACTTTCACTGCGAGTCGACGAATTCTTTCTGAAAACACTTATCCAATGATTGTATCCGAATGAAGGAAACGAGAGCGAGGAAGAAGTTACTCCTCCGACAGATTATTCCGTCCCCTGCGAATGGATCGTTGGATGTCTGATTGCTCGACTTCTCGACATCTGGTTACTTTTCTTTCTCGTCCTTTTGTAACAAGGCTTGGAACAGGAGGAATTAAAGGCGAGATTGCGAGGAACGAACGAGTCAAAGAACAAGTAATTCTCTTGATAATTGTTGCGATTGTTCAGAACGAACGGAGTTCTTTACGTCAGGGGAGAGCGATGAAATAAGATAGCCGGTGTAGAATCAGAAATCACTCTGCGAATTTGTGTATTCAGTTTAAAACTCTTCCATGTTGAATATTCTTTCAATCCTCTTTTATATTTCAAGTATTTTCAATTAAATCTTTTTTTTATTTTTTTTTTAGTTCTTCCAATACAAAAATCTAAAATTCAACATACATTGCGAGTCGCAGAAATATTCGAATCATTACAATAGGTTTGAGTGAGAAATACTCTATCATACGATCCCGAGTACATTTCAAATAAAAAATAATGTTCCAGTAGTTTGAAAATTAATTGTTCATAATTTTCATTAAATACTAAACGTAGTGATTATATTATATAATATATAATATATATTATATAATTGTATTATATATTGTCACAGTAAATACTAACATAACAAGTTTGAAAAGTAATTGAAAATAATAGTATTAAGTAATTAAAAATAACAGTATTAAAACAGTTTTATTGAAATTAGATATTATTTGACAGTGGTGCGTGAAAATATTTGTTTGAAATTTATCAATCGAAATAACAGACTATGGCTGTATATTTGAAAATTAAAATATTAAATAACACTTCAATCAATATGAATATAATTACCTCGAATGAACCAACGAAGTATTTATTTCAAGTTCAAAAAATATAATTGAAAGATATAGTTGGCAATATAGTTGGCAAAGATGATAAAGATAATTAAAATATATTCGTTAGAATCAACTAAATATTTAAAAGAATATTTCAATCAATATACAAGATCGACCAGTGCCTGAACTACTAAATAATCCTTTTTATATTTTTGTCTTTTATTCCAAATACTTTTCAACTTTCTTATGCTTTTCTACTTTTTCACTTTCACACCCTGTGTACGACGTTTATCGTGGAAGAAAGATTCGCTCCTTCGATCAATAGCCTAATTACTCGAGCAGATGCTTCCTTTATTCTTCCACCACCGATTCGATGGAGGAAGAGTTCCACGGAGCTGTGAAAGGATGGCCGGTAAATTTTCCAAGGAGGAAATAAATCGTTCGTGGAAGCAGTATCTGGTAAATTTCTGACCAGGCGTGTAAGTCTTAGCGAAGAGAGAGAGAGAGAGAGAGAGAGAGAGAGAGAGAGAGAGAGAGAGAGAGAGGAAAAAAAAGGAAAATATACGTGCAAGTTTGCTGGAAAAGTTGGAGAAGAAAGTATGTAGTACTATCGTTGAATCGATACGTTCGTACAGAAATTTCCAAGCGATGTACAATGTACATACATACGTTACGAGAAATGAGACAATTTGAGACAAGTTGCGCAGTTTCTGCTGTGATTCCGTCTTTCGTTGTGATTCGATTAAACTTCTGTTTTTACAAACAAGACGTTAACTGGTAGCCGTGTTTAATTTAATCGTGCCTTCAACTTAAATTCAATTTACGGGTAATTATTTTACAATACGTTACATATCGTAATATAATACAATATGTGTGATGTGTATTAAGATAATGTACTATATGTATATTAGAATGTGTGATATATTATATGTATAATTTTATGATACTGTTGGATTCTGTGTAATGGAGTCAACAGGCTTACAATTTAGAAGAGTTTATTCCCTTACAGTCGTGGTCGTGTATGAAATATAATGATATAGAATGATTTAGATAATGTTTGATGCTTTTAATGATATAGAGTATCTCTATAATGATTTAGAATGTTTTATGCTCTTAATGATATAGAGTGTCTCTATAATGATTTAGAATGTTTTATGCTCTTAATGATATAGAGTGTCTCTATAATGATTTAGAATGTTTTATGCTCTTAATGATATAGAGTGTCTCTATAATGATTTAGAATGTTTTATGCTCTTAATGATATAGAGTGTCTCTATAATGATTTAGAATGTTTTATGCTCTTAATGATATAGAGTGTCTCTATAATGATTTAGAATGTTTTATGCTCTTAATGATATAGAGTGTCTCTATAATGATTTAGAATGTTTTATGCTCTTAATGATGTAGAGTGTCTCTATAATGATTTAGAATGTTTTATGCTCTTAATGATGTAGAGTGTCTCTATAATGATTTAGAATGTTTTATGCTCTTAATGATGTAGAGTGTCTCTATAATGATTTAGAATGTTTTATGCTCTTAATGATGTAGAGTGTCTCTATAATGATTTAGAATGTTTTATGCTCTTAATGATGTAGAGTGTCTCTATAATGATTTAGAATGTTTTATGCTCTTAATGATGTAGAGTGTCTCTATAATGATTTAGAATGTTTTATGCTCTTAATGATGTAGAGTGTCTCTATAATGATTTAGAATGTTTTATGCTCTTAATGATGTAGAGTGTCTCTATAATGATTTAGAATGTTTTATGCTCTTAATGATGTAGAGTGTCTCTATAATGATTTAGAATGTTTTATGCTCTTAATGATATAAAATGTCTCTATAATGATTTAGAATGTCTCTAAAGCATGTCCTTATATATATTTGGTTATCATCGTCAAGTGGAAGGGAAAGGAGCATAGATGACCAACTACTGGATCTTGCCCTTATAACTAACTATTCACAGTCCACTTTTATGTGGACTGTTGCTAGCTCATTGTCACTATTTGCATAGATTCAATATTGTCCAGATTTCAACAATACGATAAGAAAGAACTTTATAGTGAAACTAAGTTTATGTTAAATTTCGTAGGCTAACGACTGACACATGACATGTGATTCAATTGAAAGAAGTCAAGGTATCTCGTAAAGATCTCTGAAAAACCATAAAATTATAAAAAAAAGGCTATTACTATAGTATTGCAACTTTTGTTAACAAAGTTCTTCCGTATTTTCGAAAACTACTATACCAATTTTTGTCCTGCTTCCAAAATTCACGAATCACTTCTCTAGCAATTTGCAAGTGAAAATAACAGGTCTGACAAGTGAATCTACAGAGAGAAAGAGAGAGAGAGAGAAAGGGAGAAAGGGAGGCTGGATCCAAGTGGAGTAATATTCTCATTCTCAGCGAGGGAGAGTGCTCTCAAGGCCGGCGAACTGCCGACAAACAAGAACGTCTGGAACGATCATGGGAAGATGTAGAGGCGTAACAACCGTGAATCTACGGTTCGACGTCGTCCAGCCATGACAGACAATTGCCGGCCATCAACGAAATTGCCCAGAGATTGCTAGATAAGTGTCTTCACCGCCTTATCGAGTCAAGACGTCGATTATCTCGACGCAGCTGTCTGTTAATGCCTCGTTAAATTTCTCCCTCGTTTTGTTTCGACTAATGTCCACTCTGGTGGACGAATATTCAAAAATGCGTAACGTAGGTAGGTGGGAAAAGTATAGTTTAATATAGTCTTACAAATTTTGTTGAAGGTGGATCTCTTTGCAATTGTTGGAGGATTTGTAGTGTATCAATTGAATTTTTAATCGTTGCTCAATTTAATTTAATACAGATCTTTCGTTTGAATTTGTATTCTTGTTCTTTTGAAATCTCCACGAAATGGAAATCTATTTCTTCTGTTTGTTATATGCAACAAATACTCTAGTTTGGTTATTTTATATACAATATTTATATATCGAATGTGTTCTTTGCACTTTGGTATCTTTAAATTCCCCACGAGTGCATAAAATTATTAATAATTATTATTATTGGGCCGTTAATGCGACTATTCGTACGAGCTTTGTTTAGGGGTGGTTCAGTGATGAATGAACTTAGAGATAGATGACGAATTTTTACAATTTTTTCATCTATTGTTATTAAATTTAATATTTAATAGTATTATAAATATTTTTTATATTTTATATTTTTATTTTTCAATATTTAATAATATTATAAATTTAATAAATATTTTATCAAATTTTCGAAATTAACTCCCAGAAAAGCTTTAATACGTTTCGGATAAAGTGGATTCAATTGGATATACGAGTTTTAATCCCTTCTATTGCGATCTGTTTTTCAATCGTCCAAGATAAACATCAGTTAATAATTAATTTAATTTGTAATGCACTACAAATTAAATTAATACAGTATGTGTACTAATGTAATTAAATAATTAAATATTTTGCTTAATAATAATGTATAATAATATAATAAAATGTACAATATATACAACAACACAGTCTCCAATTAAAGAATTTGCTTCTTCTTTCAAATCTAAATCAGAACCTTTTGCACGACCGTGACTCGATTTTCGCGACACGAGAATTCAATTCTCGTTTTCACTCCTGAAATCAAAACTCCCAAATGGAAAATCCGATCTCTCACGTTCATCTCTCGCAAACGAAGGCTCGTCCATCCCCTTTGTGCTTTCACACAATCGACTCAAATTTGTCCAACAAAAGATTCAAAAAAATTTCGGACGAAAGATCAATCTCTCGCGCGTCGATTGCAAATGGAAAATTCGTTTGTTATTCGTTGTTTGATGTAACAGGGGAGGAGGGATGAAAAGGAGAAGACGCCGAGTCGAGCAGCGAACATCGGTTGCCTGATAACGCATTAACGCTGATAATCATGCCCCTGTTGTAGCCAGCTGACGTCGCCATTATCGGACGTCATTAGGGCGCATAACGGCGTACCGAAATTCTCAGCCTAAATTCCCAGCTGGCACGCGACCCATTCCACGATAAGCATCTCGCCTCGTTAATCCTTATACCTAGCTTCCTAGTGATTTTTCACTGGGGCAAAATTTCAACTCTCTCTCTCTCTCTCTCTCTCTCTCTCTCTCTCTCTCTCTCTCTCTCTCTCTCTCTCTCTCTCTCTCTCTCTCTCTCTC